TAAAATGGCTTTTCATGAAGATTGTGTGAGTTTCTGTGCCTGAACATTTCATCATTGGCAAACTGGGCCTCAGTGGAAGTAAAGGCAATTCTTTTGCTGTGTGTGTATGTATCTGTATGTAGCGATAGATATAGATTGTAATGCACATTCTGGTTTCTTCTCTGTTGAAGAGAAAAACAGCAAAGCTTTACAACCCTAAAATATTTTAAGTGTTGCTTAGATAACACTGACAAATGTGGTTATATCTTAGAATGATTAGGGCCCTTCAGCTTAGCAGACAAAGTTACAAAAAGTTCTAGAAGCTGAAAGTCTAAACCCAGTCGGGTTTAGGTTCGAGTTAAGATGCAGATTTTTACAGGGATGGTCATGAGTTCTTTGGACACCTTGACAAGCACTGTGGTAGACGTTCAATTGCTGATCACTTTTAAATTAAGATATTTGGAAGATAATCTAATTCAATCACAATTGAATCAATCACTCAAAGGCAGGATGAAAGCTCTATGCTTTGTTACTGCTTTATCCTGCAGTAGTCAAGTCAGATCATCACACTGGCCCTTCCTGAGCTTTCTTCTAAAGATTAGTGGTTAGGTTTTCAATCATCTCTCATTTGGATTCATCAGCCTGAAGACAAAAAACAAGTACTGTTTTTGCTGCTTGTCTTGCTGAATGCCAGTGGAGTGTCAGTACTTCCTCAAAGTCAGTTTCCCTGAATGTATAAAGAGTGGCTGGGCAAATCAGGGCTCTAGAAAACTGTGCTGGCAAAAAGGAGGAGCAACAAAGGCAGGCATTGGGGAAGACTTAACAAACCTTAGACCTCAATTTCAGAGGAAGAATTTTTTTTTCTTGAATACCGCATTACATGTCCATATAAGCCAATGCAACCCACGCGGGAAGACAGTTATCAAATAAGTGTTCAGAGGTTATTTTGCTTTCATTTATAGGAATGAACACCTATAAAACAAAATTGTATAACACGTTACAAAGTTCCAAGGGTGGTGTTCACAATGAAGAGGTTATTTTCATACTTTTGTGGCTGCTGTTGCCAGGATTGGAAGTTTAACATTGTAAATATTTTTGAGTGGTACATAATATTTATTATTCATTTAGGCTATCTCATGAAATGAAATCAAATAGAATTGGCCCTGCCCTTTAAAAGGATTTGTCCATAGTATTATTACCCATGGAGTTCCGATTGTTGCTTTAGGTTGACTTTTGACAGACAAATAATTGGATGACCTCATCCTGTAATAACAAATGAGAGAGCTAATCACGTAAACACACGGACTGCCTTGAGAACGGATGTAAGAGTAATGATTCATCATAGTTACGAGGAAAAACAATAGTTTGTACTGTACACTTTAGCTATGTGTTACTATGAGTTATTGTTTTTACAGTCCAGGTAGTAACACTTAAACTTTAGGAAGAGGTTATTCATTGTCCATGAAATCAATATAAAACTGAATGCTCAGAGTGCAAATATGACTTAAGTCAACCCTATTGATTGAGGCTTTCTCAGAAATCAGCTGGCATCTACAATCCAAATAGGTCCCTTGGATGTTTCAGGTTTATGACTGGAGCTCATTATGTGTCCATCTTACTTTAGTGGAAGGAGAAGGGTTCATCATCACATTTTAAACATTGGGAACCGTTTAAGTGTTATGTGTTTCATTTGGTGTTGGAATGTTGTGATGCCTGTTTTGAAAAAATCTTTCTAATGACACACGTGACATTGCAAGTTTTCCTAGTTGCAGTGTCGACCTCATACACAAATAGGCTGCTGACATCCATGGGACTAGTTGAGTGATAGCTCATGAGCATGACTCCAAGAGCCATAGTCTGACCTGTATTAAATCTCAGCTCTTGGAGGATATACTTCTGTATTTGCTCTATGTGCTAAAAAGATGTATGCTGGTTTTTAGGCATTTTTAAAGATAAAAATCTATTAACAGAAGGTGTCTTGAGAAGCTGTCAGGCTGTAGGTTATATTAGTTTAGAGCTGGGGTAAGGATAGGGCAGGGCTCGGCTCTCAGAAGCCAGGTGAAGAACACATGGCTGGCAAAATGGAGGAGGGGAAGGTGTCCCTGGGTGACTGTATTGGGTGCAACAGTGGACCAACTGCAGAGTGACCTCCTTCCAGCTCTAGGCAAGGTTTAATGCAAGTTGCCTGTGACACTGAAGAATGGATGTATCACAGGTCACTGGTGTGTGCCAAAAATACCTCAAGTCTGAGGGCTGTGTGGTTAAAGCTGGACGGGAAGTGTCACGCTCTGATATTGTCCCGAGTTTTTGATAGTGTTTGCTGTGCAACAAAACCATGGCTGCTGGTGATTTTCAAGGTCTGAAGTGTCATTATTTATTATCACTCATAAACAGTAAATAAATTGGCTTTGGTGTTTTAATAAGTTGCCCTAGAGGTAATATATAATCCAGGTGTTCACTCTTGAATATGTAATCCAATTTAGTTTGAGAATCCTGTGTATTTTAATAGGTAAAACACCACAGGCTCAAAAACATCATAAGATAGCTGTCAGGGGGACTGTAGAAAGGTGATAAAGGCTACTTGATCTTTGTGTGTGTTTTATTTAAATCAGAGCGTGACTTTTTGTGAAAGAGGGTTACAGTTTGTCACTAAGAAAATCCTTTTGTAATAAAAAAAGATTGTTCATGTGTAAGGTGCATAAACTTGCTTTTCCTTTAAAAACACCACTTATCGCTGTTTTGCAAAGAAGCTTGCAAATTCTTATGAAAGATAAAAAAATAATCACTAGTTATATTTTAAAAGAAAGAAAAGAATGAGGGAGAAATATTCCTGGAGCAAAGATCTGTGCCGCAGATATCCAAACAGCTGAAAACATTGTTACTTACTACAGGTATTTGAGTGCGTATACTATAAAGTGTGTGTGTGTTTTGAGAGATGGTAGCTTACAGTGGACCAAGCTGATTCTACTGCAGGTCATCCCTTGATTTCATTACCATTTGTGGGCAATTTGCAATCAGTCTGGACTGTATAAGCTGTCTGGAATGCTGGTCCCCAAAGAGTGGAGAGTGTAGTGGTGCTTGGAAGGGTCTTAACTGGCCGAATCAATTGGCTTAGTTTTCAAATCAAGATGACCTACCTTTCTGGAAAATATCCTTTGGTCAGATAGAAGTCATTTGACTTAAAGGGCATCTGTGTTATGCAGGAGGTCAGGCTTCATGTGGTCATAATCCCTTCTAGCAAAAAACAGTTTGCAAATTGGTTGCTAGGGTAAGGGTACAAGTACAGTACATCATAATTTAATGCATGAATACGGACTGCTAATCTGTATATGTTGTGCAACGGTTATAGGCTCCCCCTCCAGTTTACAACTAAATGTGAGGCACAGTGATCGGGTACGTAAAATGTAGTACGATTTCCTCCTTCAGCATAAATTGCATCAGGTAACTGAACCCCTTTCCAGTAATACCCTCTAGTGCTGGTATGTTTTTCCAGTAACACGATGCAGGAGCAATTGCCCAGGACCCCTAACCAGTTGTGGCTTTGTATTCTCTGGTTTCAGATATTACATTCAGCTGCTTTTCCTCTGCTAATACCTATATTTTACAGAAAAGAAAGAATATTGAACAATTTTCTGGACCTTTGCTTTAGAATACAAGTTTGCGAAAGAAGCAGCTGACTTTATTCAAACAGCTGTATCAAACAAAATGAAGGCGTTATCCTTCTCTTTTCCCCTCCTGCCCCCATATATAGGGATCATTGCGCTGGACATTTGGCGTGTGTGTCTGAGGGGACCGGACCGTTCCTTGGTGTAAGGAACTTGTTGCTTGTGCTTGAGTGCCTTCAGGATCAGGGCTGTTGGCAGCCGGATGCTAATCCCACAGAATTTAACACATGCTTTAAACCCTTTGCTCATGAAAACTGCTCGCTTGAACACGGGCTTGCAGATTTAATGTTCTTACATTGGGAATTCCTCCCCTTATTTTACTATGTAGTCAGAAACCTGATGAAATAATGGGAAAAAAATTTGCAGTGTAGTCACATGATTTGATGTCTGGATAATTCACTGGCTCTTGCCCAAGAACCAGTCTAATTTAAGGAATACGATTCTGTGTTGCCTGTTCTGTTTCTATAGAAACTTTTGGTTACTTAGTTCTTAGTCATGTCGCAAAAGGTACTTGCTATTTGAAAAATTAATTAACAGTATTAAAGTAAATTGTTATTCTTTTATTTTATTATGATCACTTCGTGTAGAAATTCCTCAGAAAGATTATCAGTTTGAACTGCTGTGATTTCATTCTGGTTGCATCACGTCTGCAGTAAAAAACGACACCCCACACCCACCCCCCCAAACCAATGCAAAATGGAACAGCTCCTCAAGGACAGTAATCAGGGATAGCTGCATGATTGCAAGAGTAAATATTAATTGTCTTTACTGTATATAAGAACACATAATTTTCTTTTTAAATATCACATGTATCATCCATCAAAACAGCTATTTCATGATATAAGTAAAATTTTACTGATAAGCTGCCTGTTGCAATTACCTTGGTACGTTAGACTTTGAATTTCCATGCGGTCTTCTGGAGTTCTGTGAATTTTCTTCCTTTAACCTCACTGCATGGATATTTCTACAACCTGCTTCCATGACTGAAAGGGCACAAGGGAATGCCTACATACTGCAGCAGTGGAAAGTATTCTTTCTTTTCTTTTCCTTACCTCCCATCTGTTGTTTCAGTGCTGGCTAGGGTTTTTTTTTTTGTTTGTTTTTTTGGGGAGTGTTGGGTTTTTTTGGTACTCTCCACATTTCTTGAATACACTGCTCTCTTACATTATTTCTGTTTGGTGGGGCAGGGGGATTTTCCTCTCTTCCTCCTGTCTCCAGTAGCTCAGGGAGAAGGAGGTAAGATGGGAAGCTCCTCTTACCTTGATGTTGCCCCACGAGTCAGTGGGTTTGTTCCGGCACTCTGACCTTAGCCATGTATCCCAGCTGTTCTATGGCTGCAGTGCTCCCCTAGAACTAATGGCGGAATTGGTTGGTAGGACCACCCGCACACCAACAGGTTTGGAAGTACAGCAGGAGGAAAGAAACAAGTGTATTTTTAAAGTTTACAGGAATTTAAACAGTGTATCTGTACCTCAGAGAAGGCTACATTTGGCCAGCATCCAGCTTCATTTAGCTATTACATCATGCCCATTGCATTTTTAGTACTCTCAGTAGGCATATGAAGATGCAAAGCATGAAGAATCTTTATCCTAAGCCCTGCTACATGGTTGCAGCAAACCCAGAAGATTAATGCAGTGGAGTGTTTGGCGTGGTCTGCACTCCAGTTGAGCAATACTCCTGAGCTCACTAGCAGCTTTAAGCGTTTGAGGACCTTTGCCCATGGTTGAAGTGAAATGTGCACACATGTGCTTTCTGGACCAGGGCCATACTGGTTTCGTGAAGCTAGAATGGGGAGCATATGTAACAGAAAAAATGTTTAAAAAGAACATTATAACCTACTTCAGTCTGCTGAGTTTGAAAGTATCTAGGAGGGCTGGTGGGAGGATTGATCAGAGACGGGTTGTCAGCATACACCACCAGTAATCAAAATGCATGAGAGATGAGCATTTAAGATGGCGACAGGAACAACTAAAGCTAGTTAGACTAATGAGCAGTGGGATATTTTACATTAATATTTTGTGTTCATATCCTATAATCCGCAGACGGCTCTCTAACGCGGCTTGCTAATGACTGACCTGATACTGTGTCCAGACTTGTTTCTCGTATATTTCAGAATTTTTGGATTAAAAAGTGGTGGATATTAATGCATCGGGCAGGAAAAGCTTACATTTGACCTGGTCTGTGAAGATCTGCATAAAACAAAATACAAATAAAAAGCGTAGAATGGGGAATACAAAACCACTGATAGGTGGGGTATTTCCAAATATCAGTTTCAGTTCAGATTTAAGAGGTCTGCTAAGATGGAAAATGCATAGTGCTTTTATGTATTTCTGATACATAAAGCAAATCTGAAAGAAGAACAGCGAGGAAAGCAATCATCTTTGCCAGTTATGGCAGTGCAGAATGGGGAATTAATAAAACTATGATAGTAAAAGATGGAAACAGCGACTTGAAACAAGAAGAGCATTTTAACAGGAATGTTTTAGAAATTTTTTTGTGCATGCAGTTTTTCAGCTGTTTAAAAAGACAGCTAATAACTGCTCAAATAAATATTGGGGGGGGGAATCCTTGAAACTTTATCCATCTATTTTCAATATGTGAATTTCCTGAGAACTTCAACAAGAGAATTTAAATCTGACATCTCTGCAGGGGAGATGATAATTCTTTGTGAAGGTAAAAACTTACACATTTTTTAAAAAATAGATAGCGCATCTTATGGGAGAGTGTTTGAGGGGTTAGAGTTTTGTGTGTAATATCTTATTAAAATATGATCTAGAATTTGTGGAAATATAGTTAGAAATTATTGGTAGCATTTGGTATGCAGCTGTTGATGGCCCCCTCAGTAGCAAAGACTTTTCAAAGCTACTTTGGGGAAACAGTATGGCTTTGTCTTTCTTCAGTATCCTTTCAGCTGAAAAACAGCTTGACTGTTAGGCATTTTGATCCTTTCTACCCTAAAGAATCAGACCATTAGGTAGCATAATTATTTTTGCTGGAAGTCTTAGTTTTTCCTAGTTGGCATTTGAGTTTAGAACCCTTTTAGGGTGTATTGTCTAGGGGATTTTGTTGGTGTTCTGGTGGGGTGTTTTGTTGTTTGGTGTTTGGGGTTTTTTTCCCCCCAGGGCTCTAAGAGTATATGAAACACAGGAAAGAACTAAATAACTATTAAACAAGGTTTTATAAAACAGCTACCTTCTGCTTTGCTTCAATTTGTCTGCCTTTATGCTAGAATTGATGTATGTTTAAAAGTGGAAGTCTTGTTGAAACTGAAGATTTTTCCTTGTTGAGTAGTCACTTCCCCTCTTTACAGCATGAGGCAATGAGTGTGGGGATGAATACATAGGTCTGCGTTTTGCTGTGGAGAGTGAAATGGAGGGGGGGGGCGCGGGCTTCAGACCCCCCTCCTGTGGGATCTTGGGTGATCCATCACTGTGTATTCATAAGAATTTCCTGTTCCATAGGTCTCCTTGTGGGTACTCTTGATGTCGTGTTGGACTCCAGTGCCAGAGTGGCACCGTATCGAATCCTCTACCAAGCACCAGACTCCTTGGTCTATTGGACTATTGCCTGTGGTAAGGACAAACATACTGACATGTGGGTTTTTATTCTTCCTGGATACTGTGCCACATAACTAATAGAGCATCGTGCCTGCTGAGCACAGTCATTTTGGGACAAATAAATGGGTCAGGATGAAAACCTGCTCTAGAGGTTAAATTAAGAAGCTGCGGAGCATCTAATATTCAGACCTTGAATGCCAGCATGTGTGTATGTGTTATGCACAACGACAGAGTAAAACCAAAAATGGCCATGGAACAGGGACAGAAGCCTCTGTTCTTTCCTGCCCTTCATCTCCCAAATACGTTCCCAGACAAGCACTCTAGTATCCATCCCTCCTCCTTGCATGTTCTTGTCTGTGCCCATGGCTCACTCCTACAGCATTTTTAAAGTGCAGCATTCCTGGGTGATGGGATATCTCTCAAGAGTATGGTAGGAGAAGTACCTGGGTTACAGCCCCCTCAAATTACCCAGACAGGGCACCTGGCTTCCCTTGAAATGGAAACTGGAAAGATAGTTCAACCCCAGCTCTCTCCTGAGTACTGAATATTGGTACAACATTGGTACTGGATAGTGAGCTCCAGCATAAATACCATCTAGATCCCAGGGATGCCCACCTCTTGGATGTTTATTTCAGACAGTGTGTTCACCTTCTAAATGTCACGTACTTAAAAAGTCAGCAAGATGATAGCTAGGTTAGTGCTAAATACAGAAGTGTATGTTCTTACATAGATGCAACAACTCTTAAGAGTTTGGGTCTTTAAGGCCCAAACTTTGTCAAATCTAACTGTAAGACTGTTTCTTCTGTCATTATAGTAGTTGGTGAAAGCAATGAAGTTGATATTTCGGTACGTTAAGTAGGATTTTTGCATACGCCAGACCCTGTAAATACTAAATGCTTATTTCTAGGGTCAGGTATCTATTGCAAGTAGCATAAAGCAATATGTAGTTAGTCTCTTGTTCTGTTTGTCAGCTCTGAAAATGGTGTCTGAAGCTGAATGCAGAAGGTCGAGGTTATTTAGCTTTGGCCAAGCTTGTAAGGTGAGATCCTCAGTTTGAAAATACTGCTTTTCAGTCTTAGCAAATGGAAACTTCTGAATGCAACTCCTCTAGCTCTAAAGTTTCCAATGCTGTTTTAGGCAGCACCCAGAACTCTGTTCATTTGAAAGAAAATTGAGAAAGAAGACAATGAGAAGTGTACACATGCCTGTCATCTCTTTAACAGACTGGTAACTTCCAGCACCTCCAATGCTGCCTGACATTCAAAAATACTAGTTAGTGAAGCTGTAGACTTCTTGCCTTACAGTGCCCTCTCATCTGTGCCCGTTCTCCCAATAAAATTTGACATTTAGATTATTTGGGTGACTTTTCCTCCAGAGAAATCCTCTCTCTTGGGAAGGGAAGAGGAGGAATGGGTGAAGGTTTGCCATAGATCTAGTAATTTAAGCAGTTCAAAGCAGGCTCTATTCTTCTGAGCATATGACTTGTGCATCTGACAAAGGTGATACTGGAGCTGTGTCATGTTCTGAATCCAGTAGGAAATTTTTGAATAGCTCATCTCAGCACAAGTATTTCTTGCTACTTTTGGTGGTAGACCTGAAAGAAGGCATTGATTTAAACAGCCATTTTTCCCAGCTCACTGAATATTTTGAAATTCATGTAACATAACTTGCCTTTAGTGACAGCTAATAGTAAAAACAGATATTAATGAAATTGTTGAATATTATGAAGGTCATTTCCAAATCTTCATTTAACTGCTTGCTTTGGACTGTCAGCTACTCTGCTGTGACCATAAGTAATGGGACCTTGCATGTCAGCTTTCCATAGTTTTCAGTCATGAGAAAGAAGGGTAAAGTACTTGCCAGTATGTTTATTTACGCTATTTGTGCACAAGCAGAGGTAGTTGGAAGTGCACATACAATCCCTTCTTTTCTTCACCCAAATGTTAGTGCACAGCAATTAGTAAGCATTTCTGTTCCATAAACTTGAAGGAGAGCAACTGAGAGCACAAATTTTCTTGCCGTTTGCAGACTCCCTTCCAAAGAAAATAACATATCACAAAGCTCTCAAGAAAATAGTGTTTCCTCAAAGACACGTGTACTGCGCACATATTCAGAAATTATGTTTTAAGACTTTGGAAATAGGCTATGTGGCTGTTCTCTAAGTGCATTTGCAGGGTTTTCGCATGAGACCTATAGAAAATTACTATAATGTTGTATCTACAATGTGTATCCTCAGATAACCAGGGGCACAAAATTGAAGGCAGATGAGTTATGGCCCCAGAATAAGCACATATACATGTAGACATTTATGCTGCTGCTGAATTGTGACAGTTTTGTTTCTTTTCTGTAACAGATATTGCAGTTTTTATGTGGAAATACAGTACTCTGTTTACATTTAAGCTAGCTTTCAGTTATGAATCTTAACCCTAACTGAAATTGCTAACAAAGTAGTTAATGTATATATCTGTGTTTCCATTTTGTGGAGTGTTTCTTGACTTTTTAGTCTCCTAATATCTAGTTGGTTGATTGGCTTAGTTATTTTTATTAAATTATAAGACTGTACTAGCTTAGTCTTGTCCCCTGAGGGGAGTAGCGTGGCTCTTAGAAGGAGGTGAAATTTTACAGAGAGCAAATTATTTCTCTGAGCAACCTTGGAGCTGAGCAGCCCAGTGTTGCCTAAGGCTCTGCACTGTGGTTATTTTATGAACTTGCAACTAAAGCAATTTCTTCTGAACTGATCAAGGCTTGTTACCATTATACAGGTGACTAAGGGATTTGGCTGCATTTAGCTGTGCAACTCTGATTTGTCCTGCATTGTATAGCTGACACTCCCTGTTCCCTAGGGGTAGACTGCTGGTTATTTGGTACTTGTAACCTCTTATTTTTATAGAAATTTGTCATATTCTCCTCTGACTTCTATAAAGCAATGTTCTCCATTTTTCAGCAAGTAGCTATACAGAGTGACTGGAACAAATGTGATTGTTTCCTGGTTCATTCATGCTGCATGACATTTGGTCTTGTTCTGTACAAGACTATTCTGAGGGGTAAAAAATAATCCAAGGGGTTTTGTTTGCTCTAAAATGACTATTTTAAGTTATGTTTGGACCCCAGATTTTTTTATAATTAATTTTGGATGTAGATTTTTGGGGGTATTAACTCAACTGATCTAGGCTGTATGAGAATGCTGCCTGATTAGATTTGAGGCTTTATACCTCTGTAAAGGAGGCCTGTTACCAGCACTCTCTCCAGTGCAGTGTTGTGTTGAACATGTCACGCATTAGAGATCTGTCTATTGTGCTATACTGGAAAGATGTAACTTTTCAAGAACAGTTTTAAGCATATTAATGTCATAATGGTCTAGAAGTCCAAAATGTTGTACATTATCGGTTTTCCATATTTTAATAGCCCTTCTGTGTCCCATGTCAGTGTGTCGCCCCACCCCAGTCTGCTAGTGCTTAATTTAGGGGGTGGTATATGTCATCTCTGTTTGGAAATGAACAATTTCTTATAGATCTCCACCTATAAAATCAGTCATTCTTACTATGGCTTTGTGTGTTTTTCCAGTATAGAACCAATCATTGCTGTAGGGGTTTTTTTTATGGTAACAGTATTTAGATGCATTTCCACAGAAGTTTCTAAATCTGTATTTCACATGTGAAAAAAATGACTTATGGATTATTTTAAAGTGCCAATCTTGAAATTTTATTTTATGCCTTGGAAAAGGTTTTCAGAAAAGCCCATGTGCTTTGGTTAACAAAGCTACAAGTTTTAGTTAGAGTGCTGTTGTGTTTACCGGCCGTTACTATTTCTTCCTCCCTATCTGTGCAAACTGAGGTTTTGCCAGTCTGCTCCTGAACCTGCTGTTACTTGCAAGAACAGTTTTAGGCTCCCTGAAGTGTTACAGGTTCTCTTGCAGTGCATTCTGTTAAGGTAGCAGTTCAGGCTGACTAATAAGTATCTCGGGTAAGTATCTGCTTGGGAGAGAAGACTGGACATGAGAGCCTCATCACCTGTCTCAGGTTAAGCCGTTCCTATTCCTCAGTCACTGACTGAAACTATACTTCCAAGTGTGTTTGAAAGCATGTTTATATGACTTGTTAATTTTCTTCTCAGTCCTGAACTCGGTCACATTCTCTCTGGACCTCTTACCTTAGACAAACCAACCCAGATGCTAGAAAACTAACCCTGACACCCAGAGATGTTCCCGTGTTGCTCATGTTGTTACTCCACTGCACCTTCCAGGCAATTGCCCCTTCTCATCCTTGCTCCAGCACCGTGCATCCTTCTTCCATCCGGCTCTTCTGGTCTAGACCTCCTTTAGCCCTCCAACTTCTGTTTAACATGCTTACCAGTTTCCTCCCTGAAGACTGAGGAAAATAGCTCAATCTACTGAGGATGCTGGCCAGCATTACATCATTTCAGCCATGGAGCACACCATAAGCTGAGCACACCATTTAGAGGAGGGGAAGGAGTGATTAGTAGCCTACTCTATACATCGTAGCTATTTTCCCTTTAATTTCCTGCCAGTCTTGGGGGCTATGTATTCCAAAGTGCGGTGGTTTAACAGTTAAATGCCTTTTTTTTTCTCCTTCCTGGAAAGTTAAAGATATTGCTTAATTTACCTAAAAGGTCAGTGATGGCAAAATGGTGAGTGCTTCTAATACACTAAGATAGGCAAAGACTTGCCAGTAGCAGAGTTAAAATAGATCTGTAGTGTAAAATATCGCAGCGAAAGTGTTTTTTAATTCTGATTCAACCAAGCAAAGAGAAAGATCTAAGCTGTGACGATTAAATTAATGAGAACTGGGGTGTGGGTTTTGGCCTGATTGCATGATCTGCTGTAGGTGAGACTGGGGGAGTAAACAATAAGATAGTGGAGACAAAAAGCAATGGAGACAATGAGATGGATTATTACAGGCTGAGAATGATCAACCAAAGCTGTTTCATAAGAAGTGATGAAAATTAATTAATGAACCACAAGCAAGAAATAGATGACTTTAAGAAAGAATTTGTCATGATAGTGTGTTTGCATTGCTCGGCACTGCTCTTCAAGAGATGAGTGATTTTTCTGATGACAGTCAGGCTTTATATACATAGCTCACATATTTCATCATTGGTTTTTACAGCAGTGTAAAAGCCAAAAAGAAATAAACTAGTTTCCAGACCACCTCCTGAGTTCAAGAAAGGTTTGGTTGCATCCAGTAGTTCTAAAGAGAATCAGCAGTGGCGATCACTTGTGGCTCTGAAATATTGGTTCCATATGCAGGCTATCCTGCAACTTGATTTACGTACCCATGCTACAACTAGCATTGTGAAATTCCCCTGGAAGTTGCACAGAATGTTGCGTTCTGTTGCTTTCATTGGAGTTGTGTAAAGCTCTGATTGTATACTGCAGAAAGAATATTTTTCCCCATCATTTGTTGCTGAACAACAAGAAAAATGATTGTTTGGTATGTATTCAAGATGGTTGCATTGAGTTCTTCTACAAACCATGGAAACACTTGCACGCAGACAGCTTGTTGTAATTTAACCTCTTTCCAATCGTTGCTTCACATGAGCCCCTTCACTTTGTTGGGTTCTGTAGGCGTTAGTTAGCAGGCAGGTACATTTACTTGCTAGTTCTGAGTAAAATGGGCCAAGTTTGTGATTTTGAACAAAAAGATGATGTAGTATTGATGCTATTTCCTACCTGGATTGAGATACTTTTAATCAAGCTTCAGGTACTGATGTTCCTATATGAACATGTAATGTTTTTTTTTTTTCAGAAAATACTTACTTAGAAGTCCTGGTTTTGACATAATTGCCCCAGCATCCTTTTTTGGGGGAACATTTTTTTGTGAGTGCTTGAATTTATTCTTCCTTTAGGGTGGGGACAGAGAGATCCTGAAGATCACCAACAAATTTATTCTGCAAGATGTTGAGAACAGAAGGTCAAAATGGAAGTGTTATTTATTACAATCCATCTCAAATAAAATAGAAGTAGAAATTTGCATACATAAACTCTAGTTCATACAAGAAACTTTTTCATCTCTGTTCTGTACTACTTTACAGACTACATGTATGCTGATTCCTCAGCATCAAAGATACTTTACCCGACCCATTTTGGTCTCCTAAGCAAACTAGAGTCATCGACGTTTAGTTTATTCTTTCATCATTTCAGTAAACCACCTCTGACAACCCTCTTCCCCTAAAAAGATACAGCTTTCTTAGAGGTCTTTCCGCACTGTTCTTTTGAGAAAAAGGCATTGTAATAGACTTGCCAGGAAAATTATCCTTTTCAGCTTTTACTCTTGAAATTTTATCATTATCATTCATGATTTGTAGTTGCATATAATGGTGAAGAATTGGGAACCAGTGGTAGAATGTACAACTGTTGGGGTTTTTTGTCAGTTCCTATCAGATGCAGGCGATACCTTTGGTAACTCTTAAATGTGATGTTGGGCAGCTGTTGTTATTGTGGTTAGAATTCTAAATGTAGAGGGTTTTTGTTCAGGATACTGATGTAAGTAGCTTGTGCTTCTCAAAGAATAATCCTGAAGACTGCTACCTATTTATTATGAAATTAAAGACTATGGGAGAAAATTTTGGAATTTCCAGGGACACAGCATCTCGTGCAATATTGCATCTCCAGTTACCAGCAAATTTTATTAGTCTTTTGTTTATGATTTAGAGGACATTGACATTGGTGAATTATTTATTTTGTGACTTTTGAGTTGTGGGGTGTTTTTTTTTTTTATATACAGGTTGCTCAAGGAAGGAAATCACTGAACACTGGGAATGGCTTGAACAGAATTTGTTGCAAACTCTTTCAATCTTTGAAAATGAGAATGACATAAATACATTTGTCAGAGGAAAAATACAGGTAGTTAAGTATATTATTATAAATGTTGTTAATGATAAATGTGACTGTGGAATGAAAACTGATGTGAATTCTAAACAAATTTGACCTGGTAGTCCCCAGGCTGCTCCACCTTTTTGGAGGAAAACCAGATTCTAAGTAGCAACATGTGTGTAAAAATTAGGTAAACTGGGATCAGTGCATAGAATTACAGCAGTGTGATTAAATATACATTTTTAAATATATATTATACATATAGGCAGAGCTTCTAACATTATATGTTTTAAAATTAATTGCACTCTTGCTTCTGTCTTAAACTTTGACAATTTTCTATGTAACTACTTTTCTAGTGAAAAGCTTTGATTTTGTTTCATGCACTCATTGTATAATGTCTCCTTACCCTCTTCTGTGTAGTTAAATCCTGTAGTGTTTGCATTTACACTTCATATAGGTGTTAGGGGTTGCTGGTTGATTGATTTTTTTTTTTTTTTTTTTTGGTTGGTTGGTTTGTTTTGTTTTTCCAGAATTTCTTTTTCTCCTTATAGGAGAGATAGTAGCTATACTAGTAAAAACTACTTTATCCACACTAAGTATTATCTAAAAATAAATATTTTGGTAAAAAATTGATTGTAAGCAAAATTACTGTACATACTTGGTATGTATTCATGTATTCTAAGCGTTGGCTTTCTCTCGTTCCTTTTTTAACATTTCATGTAGTGCTGTCTTAGGAATCCCCTAGTTGTTTGTGTTTTACTAGTGAATCAGGTATAAGGGCTATAGATGATCATGGAAACACCTTATGCAAGAAGACAGATGTCTTGTGAAGTATAACCCTTTAAGGAAATGGTTACTTTTTAGACTTGGACAAATGTTAAATATGAATGATGGTTTGCTGTCTTATACTCCGCGTTCCATGTAAATATGGAGCAATTTGAAGGCAAGAAGTCACTTTCTTGTTTATAACTTCAATATAGAAGGCAATAGAGAAGACTTAAAAAGGAAATTGGGAAAATAAGTAAATTGACTGTAACTTCAGTATAGAACAGAAGGAACCGTAGTCTTGGAGGTATCAAAAAGCATCTTTTCACCAGAGTGCTGCCACTTCAAGTTTGATGAAGGTCGTCTGCATCTGAAAGTGTGAATCATTTTTCCATTCTGCCGTTAATCTAGTAGAAGATATTTCTATTTTTCCTTTTGCTCTTCTCTTTTGCTCAAGGCCCTCCAAGAAGGGTCATAAAAGTAGTTTGGTATTTTACCTAATGAATAACAGATCCTTTTTTCCTTTGACATTTTTCATTCCTTTTGGAAGAAAATCTTCCTATCCCTGTCTCCTCGGGGAGCATATTTACACAGAAGGGGAAAATATTATAAATCTTAAGTGCTTTAGAGAGTTGTTAGGAGTATTTGAGAAAGGCTGGTTTATTTAAAACAGGGTACTGGCAAGTGGTTGGTGTTTGGTCGCTTTTGACATAGGCATGGAAGGGAGCAAGGCCATCAGAAAGACAGCCTTGAATAAAGTAAATAACTATATAAGCAAAAGAATGAGTAGAAGAATTAAGGGATAAGCAAAAGACTTTCTTGACATTGCAGTAACTGTTGTGGCCTTTGGCCCTGCCAGCATAGGGATATCTGCTACCCCATAGCAACTAACATGCTGTGTATTTCTTTCACTCCCTGCTAGGGTATCATCGCCGAGTACAACAAAATCAATGGCATCAAGGAGGATGACGATACAGAAAAATTTAAGGAAGCTATAGTGAAATTTCATAAGCTATTTGGAATGCCAGAGGAAGAGAAATTAGTGAACTACTACTCCTGCAGTTACTGGAAGGGGAAGGTTCCCCGTCAGGGCTGGGTGTATCTCAGCATTAATCACCTTTGCTTTTACTCTTTCCTTATGGGCAGGGAAGGTATGTTTTACAGTGGAACGGTGGTCTGTGCATCTAAGAATTGTTAGGAAATCTTCTGTAGT